ATATATATATATATATATATATATATATATATATATATATATATATCGAACGGTACACCGTTCGATATACTGTATCGTACTGTACCGAGCGAATGTCGAAACGTCGGTACGATATAATATTTCAAACCTTGGTTTGAACCTAAGTCCTGAGACTTTAAGTTTAAAGCACAAAGCATTACACCATGAAACTCTGTGTTTTAATCATTTTTTGTTTCTCTTTCAACCAATATGGAACCAAACCGAAATCGCCAGACTACTTTATAATTGATGAAACGCTGGGAAACAAGGTACTCAAATTTATGTCCTTAATAATTGATGAATGACATCACAGGAAGTTCCACTTTTGAAGGAGTAATTTGACCACCAAAATTATTGGTATCATAGGTGCAGACACTGGTTCCAGTAGATGTCATAAGAATAATTGGAACATGATGTTACCCTATCTCAAAGTCATGGGTAAAGATGCTGGTTCCCTGTAAAGTACTAAGAGCAACATAAAAACACAATCCTATCCCTTGGGTTTATGCTAGCCATCAGGAAGGATGACTCTGTTGTACACGAGCATGCAATTGCCTTAACTCAAGGCATATAGGATCTTATGTTTAACCACTCTATACAAATTAAATTTTGCAATAGTATCGTTCACATTACCCTAAATTCTTATGAAGGGATTCACCCAATACAGAATAACACGTGTTTGATATAAAATCACATTTCTTGTTTAAATAACAACAAATTTATTTCATTAATTCAATTCCAACGAAAATCATTTAACCGATAATAATAATAACATAAAACGTATCGAAGCCGTACCTTCCCACTGAATTTCTTTTCCAATTCTCTAACTAGCCTCACATGAATTTTCCTGAATGCTTTGCGAAGTCGGTATGGCACGTGGATAACAACAGCTTTCCGGTTGCCAGCTACATCCATTTGACTGCAACAGAAGACCATGTAAACCCGCAAAATGATAAGCAGTGTTGTGTTTACTCGAACAACCAAACAGAAACAGGCGATATGCCAAACTTACGTTGCTGAGCTAATGTAAAGGTCCTTCAAGTCACTCTTCAATTCCTGATTTCCATTCTCCAAATCAAAGAACGCCTGCAATAAAGTACAAAACACTCACTAAAACATCTATACGAAAGCATCGGGACAAGATATCTAATATTAATTACTAGCCTGAGCAACAGTGTCCTCGAACTCGGTAGGCTCAGCACCCTTGTCCTTTTGGATCTTTTTTCTTGCGGTGAACATTTTGATTGCTAATGCTTAACCTACGAATGAATGAAACCCAAAATATAAATTAAAGCGTCCCGCATTGAATAAAGAGAAAAAAGATAAATCACTATATAAATGGATCAGCTTATTGCCAATTCTACAAACATATATTTCTCCTTTTGTCGTCACCCACTCGCAGCAATGGGAAACATATGATTTAACTCTCACTTACCCACCAACCCTAAAATTTCTACCAATGTCAAGCAACAAGTCAGGTTCTCACATCTTAGTAAATGATAGATAGCAAAACCGGACTGGCGCAACAAAACTTGCTCTGATCTACTGTAAACATTAGTAATATAGCATGAAGACATGAAGATTAACCTATCATGATGAACCATACAAGAAACAAGTTGCTAAGACGGAATCATTTAACATATAGAATAATATAAATGCATGATCTCACAAAAGAAAACGCAATAAGATGCACATCAATAAACTCAAACATCGGATCAAAACCTCCATGAAGATTTTAATTAGAGAATCATCCGTATGTCAATACGGCGAATCGACCTTGTGAAACCCTAAACCTGAATTCCAAACAGAAGTTAAAACGTCGATGCAATTAAGAACATTAATACCAGAAAAAGGGAGCAATGCAACACCAAGAAAACACCGGTATCGTCTACAAATTAGAAGCGGAGACGAACAATCTGTATCGAAACAAGATCGATGAGGAGGGGCCGATGCGATCGGAAGGCCAGCTTGCGCTCTGTATTAGACCCTAATAACAATAGGTCGAGGGAGAGGGAGGTACCCGGCGATTGAGGAGTCGAGAGATAGAGGAGAGAACGAGCTCAGTGACCACGCCGCCGCGCAAGTAGGGTTAGCGTCGAATCCCCCGCGCACCTTATTATGAAGCCTCGCATCGCGCTTCACCGTTTCGGTCGATCGGGGTAATCTGGACCGTTCGATCGGCGCAACAAATCATGGCCATAGGATAAAGATCGGAAGGTCACGAAAAGAACCAAAGGGGGGCTCGAGGGGACTATTCACCATGGAGTTAATCGTGGCCGAAGCTAATTTGAGTTAAAAAAATATATAAAAACATAGATTAATAATGTTTTAGCATTAGACTATGTTTTTTATTACATCAATATGAATTCGAATCAAACTAATAATAAACTTGTCGTGGATAATTATTGTTTGAGCTAAAAATATATAAAAATAAACGAGCCATAGAAACCTAATATTTTCAGTATTATTATGATTATTTTTATAGAAATAATATATCATAATTAAAATTGATTGATTTGAAATGAAATATATAATAGACACTTTGTCACATTATCACAAGGTACTTAAGTAAATCCTGCCTCCACATGCAAACATATATGTATATGTAAACATATAATACTTTTAGATTTTACATGTATATACATACATACATGTATATATATACATATATACATGTATATACTGATGTATATATATTCTGATGAAATATACTGATATATACTGATGAAAACACAAGATTCCACAAAGTTGAACTCCCAGTTTCTGAGAGATGACAATCAATCAACTAACAAAGATACAAAACTTGCATCCATGATCTTAGCAATCCTCTTGCTATGCTCCAATTGCATATCATAGTTTTGTCCACAGAACAATGGGTGTAACAACAGCCAAAACTAGCAAGGAAGCGACTGATATCTGATGACAAATGCTCCTCAATAATTTACCGGGGCGTAGGAACCTCGACTATCCCTGCTGAACCTTCGCACTAAACCTCTAAGCATACTCTGCAAGGAATATAACAGAAGAAACCCAGAATCTAAGTATCAGCATAAAATGCAACTGCAATCACAAAACCAAGACTGATTTTGGTTCAGTTTCTGCACCGTCCATATAATTGTTAGGAACTTCTTAGTGGAACAAATGTATCGTAGCAAACGCTATTACAAAAAAATTGTCTGACTTATCAAGATAAATAGTCAATCATAGAGGAACTTACGCTTGCTTTATATGGCAAACTGAGCCAAAATTCTAAGTTTGGAATAGCCTGAAAAAAATGAAACATCAACAATTAGATCTCGTAGAAGGATGTTTATATGTAAAATAGTTTGTATCGGAACATAGTGATCTGTAAGAATAACTGTTCATATTTTGTGGTTGAAGATAACTTCAATTTCGTACAAGGGATGTTTCTGCATGAAATTATTTGTATCGGAACATAGTAAACCACAAGAATTGTTTGTTAATCTTGTGGTGAAGATAACATCAATATTTCATACATTATCAGATACCAGATGCATATGGCCTATATTTTTAGTAGCATCAAAATGGAAAGTTAATTCACTGTAAGCATTAGTTGTAGGACATGACACCGAGATGGCATGATACATGTTTCCTAAAAAGAACAGAAACAGAATGATTAATTGAGTTTTCTAAGGAACCCTGATTTAAATTAGGTAGAAACAGTTGCTAAGTTTAAGAAATCAAGTTTTAAGAGATCTCGTTATCTCTTTAAATTAGGTTTTGCAAGATACAGGATTTTACTACTTTTTATAAGTTCTAATAGCAAAGCCATAGTAAGCCTAATATAAAGTTATCCCTCCAACTATAAGAGAGTGGCATTAAAGCTCATGATAATGTAATAGAATGGCACATAATGTGAGGTATCTATCTTTCTCTATGGAGGATGTTATTGGGTGTGAGACCAAATGGGCCAAGTTTTGTTCAATTTTCTTAGCTAATTCTTTTCAGTCCTTTTTTTTTTCTTCTATTCAAACACTTCTTACTGGGAGCAATCTGATATCTCTCTCGAAAAGCTCTTCTACTCGAAATTCATTCAAAAACCATCAAATTCTCTCTGTGAAGTCATGGTCAGTCTGAAAATTATACACGCTCAACCAACCCCTTTTAAAAGGACTGTCAAGCCTATTCAGCTGCCCATCAGTCCTATACACTCTTTAACTGATAACTTGCTCCAGCCACAATCTCTCTACAAGACTACAACAGTCATAAAGTCATACAAGATATATGAGAACAGTCCTACAAGAACGTGACAGCCAAATCATTGCCTTTATGCATTTTCATTTCCTGATTCAGCTATTCAATGCTATAAAGGAGTAAATACAGAACAGACTACTAAATGATATTTGTCTGCAACACCAAATGAAACTTTGTAGATCCAGTGCATAAACAAACACATATCATCATAAGCCGTAAAAGCTAAAAAGTAGGAAAGTCTTACTTCTATGCCCTGAATTCCCAGGAAAAAGAACCTATAAATTGTGCCTACAAGAACATAGCCTACAAGAAGGCACAAAATTCTGCAAGCACAAAGCAATGGTAATCAATCACTGACACAGCAATTGCAAGCAATAAATGGACGAAAGTATCAGAAACATACATCATCATTAATGTTCCAAACCATCCCCATCCTTTTCCATTTACATAAATAACTTTTGCACAACCAGATGGATGCCTGAGCACTACAGCCTGTAGAATTCAGTTCAAACATGTTTTGTTAGTCTAGTGAATCTGGAATTTAGTAAATTACATTGCAAAAAAAGAATCACCACAAAATAAGCCGGAGCAGTAAAGATGACTGGGGAGGGAAAATGACACCAGGTTACTTGTGCATCACAACAATATTCAAAAAGAAGTAATATGTAAATCAATTGCAAACATTAAATTTCCCTGAAAAGTATGACAGTATACTTTGCAACTGTGGGTCACTTGAAGAAAATTTATACACATGAAGAAGCCAAAGCAGTTCTGGTCGAGGATAAAATGACAGAATCATTTAAGATGGTATAAACATATCTAAAAGAGATCTATAAATGAACTGCTCAGACGAACTGAACCAATTAGAACAAGTGACGAAAGGAGAAGACGAAGAATACCTAAGAAATTTTTTGTTAAAATGTAAAGAGATTTTGTTGCTATTACTTTCACTAATTATTGCTTTTGATGGAGTTCAATGATGGTTGGAAACTTATATAGCTAGTTATTGTTGTTGGTATCTCTTGCCAAAAAGCAGGCTCCCATTTTTTGCTATTTGTCTGTATAAATTGTTGTGCTTATTGAACAAGGGAAAAATATCTTTTCTTTATTTTCCCCTTTTTTGTACTTTCCAAAAAGATTCATGAGTTTATTTGCAAGGTTTGCCATACAACAGCATACCGCCCAGTACAAGAGCTACATATCAATCCAACAGAGGATTGGTATAGGCGGTATATATCAATTTATTGGTACGTCCCATCGTACTATGTATCGGTATGTTGGTACATACTATACCAACGTCCAGTTGATGCACCGGTACAGACAGATAAGGCGAATCATGCTTATTTGCCATACATATACACTTTTGTCTTACAGACATGAGCAATATAGGAGTAACCAGGATACGTAAATTCTGATTTCCAAAAATTGGAAATTTGGGCATACTCACATAGTCACAATTTCCTGTTATGTTGAAAGTATCTGACACCTGCAAGTATGATAATTGAGAAATTTTCATTATGGAAAAAATCACAAAGATATAAACAGTATGATATATGTACATGAATGTAAACATAAGCTTGACATAGGAGTAACACACCTGTGCTTCATTTGAATCACAAAAGACTGAAACAGAAAGTGAACAATTAACCTTGGGGCCAATTGATGATGTCTTGACAACAACACCTTTTTGAGGACTGTTCTGATCTGTTCTACAATCAATAAAAAGCAATATAAATTATACTATTAAGCTATGTGATATAAGTGGAACAAAATGGTGACAAAAAACAGAGTGTTTCAGGGCAAATTAATTACATCAGAAGATGGTGAAAGAAGCAGCATAAAAATCTATAAGAACTCCAAACTAATCCAAAATAACTGGACATTTATCATTAAGTGAGCAAACATGATTGGTGTATCTAACACAATACGGTATGGAACTAGTCAGTTCTTCGTTTCATAGGAGTAAGCATCAAAAGGACTTTCGATAACACATAAGGTTGATTTTGATCATAGCTACAGAGATTTGATGATGTGTCGAACTTGAATATTAGAATTTAATTCATTCACAACATATCATCTCAATTAGTAATCCGTATGACAAATTTCATTTAATAAATATCAAGATATTCAAATCAAACAGAACTAATTAGATGTTACCAATGAGAGCAACGTTAAGATTTGAAGCCCTTCCAATGGTTGTACAAACAAAGTATCCTGCATATGCAACCGATATCAGTTAGCACAACTGAAGCTACTGTGTTCATGAAATGAATTTTATCGTTCTTGAAAATAGTTTTCCTTAGATAACATCAAAGTATGACTCTTAGAGAAAAAGTAAATAGGTAGAAAGGTCTTATGATCATTCTCATCATAGCATCGTGTAGCATAACTAATAAAGAAAACTCATTTAACACGAGGCTTTTACAATGACATAAAGCAACCAAATTTTGAGGAATAGATTCTCATCACGCTGAAGGAAAACGAGTGTGGCTGACGTCTAGTTAGATATAAGTCTGGAAACAAAAGCATCTTATAGGTGAACAAATTAATGATTTCGCTGTGATTACAAGTTTACAACTAAAAGCAGGAGAATCAATATTAAAAAAAATATTAGTGCTGCAGAAGAAAATGTGGAACCAATTAATAGTCATACAATGAATTCAGATTTTCCCAATCATAACAAAAGATCCATGTAGTTGACCCAAATAATTGGGACATTAAGGCTTCATCATTGTTTTACAATGAACTCAGATTTTAACAGCTTTTTAGTTTCTTAGCTATGACTTCCTGATAACTCATCCATTTTCTGTTCTAGGTCAATTACCCATCTAACAAATTATTAGAGAGTTCTAAGCTCAATTGACACATTATCTTGTCGCCATTATCTTAAATTTCTTACAGTTACCATATAATGCTCTGGCAGAATCCCCTGACAATCATCTTTTTCAGTTAGGCAACCAATCATAACTCATATAGCAGGCTCCTAGAGTCAGGGCCTCAAGTTACTTGAACTAAAGCAGGTGTAAGCAAAGAAGTGAATGGAATTAATACTTTGGGAGCATCACTCTTTTCAGCACTTATTTTGAGAGATCAGCAGGAAGTGGGTTTGTAAGAGCTCCACATAAATTGTAGAGCACCAAGCAGAACATGCTGCTACTAGAGACATGACGAACAGGTCTTCTACCAAACCATGGGATATCAAGAACCCTATTTAGAAATGTAAAAACACACCTGTTGATGCAGAGAATAAACTTTCTTTGAGGTGGTGCTATGAGGTTGAGATAACAGTGTAAAAAACAGACTTAATAATTCTCATGTTTTCGATGCCTACTGCATAATATGTTAGTTATCTCCTATGCATATAATATCCTTCAATGAGACTTTTTTCAACTATTATTCTTTCACAACTGATGCTCACATACAATGAGACAATGCACAATATGCTTCTTAACTTTTAATAAATAAATTTCCACTTCTATGAACAGAAAAGAATTGAGTGTACCTCCTACGCTGTTTGCCACAAGTGCATTGCACATCGTACCGCAACGTGATGGACCTCCACAATCCTATTTACATACATAAAGAAATTTGAAGACACAATTATCATTTAATAGTATAGTATAGAATTTTTTTATTTAATTTCACGATTTAACATCATCAAAGTATCAAACGCAACAAATTTATTAAGAGAGGATAACTTATAGAAACTAAATAACTGTATTTCCTTTTTGTGACCCTATTCTAGCTTTATAATTTACAATCATCAATAAAGTCACATTATTCATTGATAACAACACAAAGTGAAGTTCTTTTATATGAGCACCATGATCTGTAAAAAAATCAAATGTCTTTGGAAAGGTTTAAATTTTTATTCCAGTACTGATACTGATGGGTCCCAGGGGTTGAAAAACAAAAAGAAAAGGAACATCACCACCAGTAACTTTTCTTGATTAATATTCATTAGTACCTATTTAATTAAACTATATTTTTTTTAATAAAAAACTAACAGCTAATTTAAATGCACTATAAAATATTATAACAAGTTCAAAAGGGAAGAGACACGAAGTGGGTGATGATTTCTGGAAATCAGTTACCTGGCAATCATAACATCTTGGGGGATCATGGTTGAATATCATCTGATCACATAGCTGTTCACATAAATATCAATTTAGCTATATATCAGTAATATTGAGCAATATTCTGCACAAAACCAAAGAATATGGTGTGTGCTGTTCCAAATCCAAACTAAATGCCTCAGTACATATGTGTGTTGGCACCTAACTATATGCATCATTTGGTCTAGTACACAACACTAGAAATTAAGGTGGCAACTGTAATGCTGTATTATCCCAGTACCAAACCAACTAGCAAGGTAAGTGTATGCAGCATGTCATTTAGATACATAAAATGAAGGTTATGCCTGCATAGGCACAGCATGGCACAAAACAAACATGAATCATGCTAAAGTACCCTGTTAATAGAAGGCAGTCAGGAAACTTATGCAACTCATTTTTTGGTCTCCTTGGAATGGTCCATTTTATGGTAATAAAATTGGAGAAGTTCATAGATTTTGGATGTATAGTTATGCTTAACACATTGATATTGAACCTAAAGACTACCAAGAGAAGGTGACCTGATGAAGCCAACCTGAAACCAGAGTGATGTCTCATTTACAGTCACTTTGTAAAACCTACAAGAAAGGCGAATTGCTCAACGATTAGTATGAAAAACAAATTAAGTCTTTATGTAATTTTGACAGAAGTAGAAAGCTATGGCAATCCAGAAGAAAAAATTATGGCAAAATTTAACATCAGTTTGGAAGAGAAGGTGATATCATTATAAAGAAATCAGCAACAACCACTATATAGGCATCAAAGTTGATGCATGTATTTGCAATGCAGATATGGGCACATGTCTGTGAAATTCTCTGACATCTCTATCATAGTAAAATACATGGATATACAACTGCAGTTGCGCTTTCACTTGGAAATAGCTAGCCCCTTATCCCAAAAGAAGCCCCAGCAAAATTTGAGTCAACGAGGAGGTGCGCACCTTAAAAACTGTACACTCTACTTTCATCTATTGTGGGAAGCTTACTTTATTCATTTGCATGCACAAGAAAAGTTATACACATGACAGATTAAGAATAACTTAAACAAAGCTAGTAAGCCACGATTAGTGTCCCATTGGAATGAAGCTACACATACAGGTTAGCCCATAATCTGACTCCTTAATACAAATATATTGATGAAGAATAAATCTCTCAGTCTTATACAGCCTTAGAATCATTGATAAAAAAAATATAGATGATATAACTGTGCAGACGCTACCTCACTACAGATAGATTCGATGATGGTATACATCACTGACAGCATTAACTGTTTGTCAATCACTTACAAGTTGATCTAGACGTGATCCTACACCCTACCAAAGTTACAACCTGCAACCTTCGATTAAATTCGATCAGGCAACGGAAGCAACATAACAGCAATGTGTAGCTCTTTCAGTCTTCGAACGCATAAGACGAGTAAACTACTAGATTACCTGCGATCGCGTCCTGAGCCTTAAATTCTTAATTCACGGCAGAATCACACGAAATGACGAGGAAAAGATCACAAGAACAAGATTCGTCAGGAAAGGCAGATCGGGTGAGGGCAGGAGGAGGAGTACCCGTCTTCGCTGAGAACGCCGTGAGGGAATTTGTCGGTCGGCGACGCCAGGCTGTAGTTATATAAGACGTCGCTGTGGCGGACGCTGAGCTCGCAAGCTCCGCCTCCCCCGTGCGTGGGTCGAGGCACCAACCACAGAATGGAGGCAACAAGAAGCCCGAGGGCGACGCCATCTCGCGCCGGCATCTTCAAAGCCAGAATTCCTCGCCCGAGCGCCGTTCCCTTGTGGGAGGAACCCAAACGGGGGCCTGCTTTGTATACCTCGGAAACCCTCGCAATCTCATCTGGGCCGCTTGAGCTGACCCAAAAATTAGAGCCCAATAGCTTGGGTAAAGAATTATATCTATTGAGAATAATTTAATAGACGGCCGAGATTCGCCTTGAAATATCATGGACGGTCAACGTTTCATTATCCTGTCCAAATGACGCAAACGGCCGTGATCAATTCTTATCACCGTCGGATTGACTTTCATATAATCTGGGTCGTCCATAGTGGTCGGATTGAGCCATTTTGAAGGATTCATATTCATGGTGAGGTATGTGTCAACACACAGATCACTGGTGAGTCGTCTGGTTCATTCTCCGTCGAAAATATAAATTCCTTTTGGTGACTCTTGATTGTGTGGAGAGCAGGCGTTGTGAGCAGGAAGGAGGAAGCTATCAGAAGAATCAATTCTCTAGGAGCGATGAAACTTGGTTTGAGAGTTGGGTGATCTCCTCTACTGGTAGTCTTTTGGCTACGTCTTCAAAACTACGTTGATGACTCTGTATAATAGGCCTGAGCCGAGGGTGTTCTGGCTCGGCCCCTTCGATACTTAAGTTATGAAAGTAAAATAGGAGAAAAACAACGGTATCAGCAGTTAATTAATAGAGTAAAGAGTCTCTATTTCCTACTTGCCTTTGCTTGGTTTTGGGTTTGACTTTTTTACATAGGTATTGAGCGACCTGGACGTGTTTTTGTCAAGGCCCCGCTTACCCTGTATAGCGAAGGCATTAATGAGGGCGGCTTGTTGGCGTGTCCCCTGGTGCCTATGGCGAATCGTTGGGGGGATACTTCTGGGCTGACTTCCCTGCCGCTTTGGGTTAGGTAGGGAGTGGTCCTTCATCGATCATCGGAAAGGTAAGGCCAGTGAAGATAATGAGAAGGTCACGTGGGCTCATTTTTTGAAGTCGGGGCGGGCAATCCAACCCTGGTCCCCATGTTTTGGTTTTAGGCATTATCTTTTTAGCCCACGTGGTGAGGGGAGCTGGTGGTGCCTTGGATTATCTTTGATTCGATCATCGTAGCGGGAGTATCGATATCAATCTATCGTAGCAGGTCTCTCGATTTGACCATCGTAGTAGGAGTATCAGTCTACTATAGCGACTTCTGTCGTAGCGAGTCTTAATTCGACTATCGTAGCGGGAGTAAAGACCCATCATGGTAGATTTTGGCTCGATTGCGTCGGCAAGATGAAGGACCCGTCATGACGGGTTCTGACTTGACTGCACCAGTGGGAGAATAGGACCTATCATAGAGGGTTCAGGCTCAACCACATGAGCGAGAGAAGGGACACGTTGTAGTGGGTCTTAGGTCAATCGCATGAGCAGGAGGAGGGACCCATCATAGCGGGTTTTGGCTTAACTGCGTCAGCAAGAGGAAAGGACCCACTATGGTGGGTTCGAGCTTGACCGCATGAGTGGGAGAAGGGACCCGTCATAGCGGGCCTTGGCTCGACCGCATGAGCGAGAGGAGGGACCCATCATAGTGGGTTCTGGCTTGACCGCATCAGTGGGAGGAAATGACCCATTATGGTGCGTTCAGGCTAGATCGCATGAGTGAGAGAAGAGACATATCGTAGCGAGTCTTGGCTCGACCACATAAGCGGGAGGAGGGACCCATCGTAGTGAGTTTTGGCTCAACCGTGATAATGGGAGGAGGGACTTGACTAACCATGATGTTCGGTTAAGTCATTACTATCGTTATGAGATGAGTCTGATTCGATGATATGCCCTCGAAGGACTCAACCAAGCATACCACATCCTCGGGTCACCGATGACATCTCTATATCATAAACAATATCTTGAATTATAATATATGTGAGCCTCGAGGGACTCGACCAACTCAACCTACGTCGAGAATCGATTTCTCCCTATAATGATAGAATGTTATGTGGGTCAATCTAATTAACTCCCTTTTACCGACTTAATATTACTGAGAGAAGAGATTTTGGTTCAGTCTCTTAATATGATATGTCACACATATACATATTTAATATATATCTATATCGCATGCAAATATATATACATATTTAGTAAATATATAGTTAAATACACAATCACATGAGTAATCACATCAAATGATCATGGACCACAGCCTAATATGATCTAGTTTGAGCTATATGACATCAGTCTATATAGCATCGGTCTTATTATCGTCATCTCATCACGATCCGATTCTCAGATACATGGACATCACAATATTTATATATATGTATATATGTATACATATATATATATATATATGTACATGTATACATACATATATATATATATATATATATGTATATGTATACATATATATATACATGTATACATATATATATATATGTATACATATATATATATATATATATATATATATATATATATATATGTAATAAGTAATATAAAATAATAAAAATATCAAATAATATAATAAAAAAAGAATGCACATCATGTCACGTGTATCTCTTTTTCTTGCATGCCCTAGCTTGGTCCAGGGCTTAATTTTTATACTTGTATGCTAAGCGACTCGAACGTGCATTCGAACGTGCATTCGCTAAGGCCCCCTCCTTACCTTGTACAATGGAGGCGTTAATAAGAGCGACTTACTTACGTGTATCCCTTGGTACCTAGGGAGAACCGTTGGGGGGATGCTTCTGGGTTGATTTTTTTACTGCTTTGGATTAGGTAAGGAATGATCATTTCATCGACCGTCGAAAAGAGAAGGTTGGTGAAAGCTGATCATACCGTTAATTATTAATGTAGAGATATTATTTTTGCTGATGTATCACTCAGAAGTACGTCAGCCCATTTCTGAAATTCGAGACAGGCGATGCGATGCCTGATTCCCGTGCTTTGGTTTTATGCATTGTCTTTTAGCCCACGTGGCAAGGAGAGCTGGTGGTGCCTACAATTATCCCTATCAGTATGCATTCTGGTGAAGGAAGTTGTAGGAATAGTCGGTTCACTAGGAGCGACTCAGTCTTCGAGCGGTGAAGCTTGGTTTGGGAGCTGGGCTGGGTAGCATTCTGGTTGCGCCTCCGAGCTACGTCGATGACCCTGCACAATAGGCCTACGTTAGGGGTGTCCCTGCTCGACCCCTCCGATGTTTAAGTCAGGAAAACAAAGAGGGAGAAAGACAACAATATAAGCAGTGAATTAAGAGAGTAAAGAGTCTCTTTTTCCTATATACCGTAGCTTGGTTCAGGACTTGATTTTTATACATGGGCGCTAAGCGACCTGGACGTACAATCGCTAAGACCTCCTCTTACCTTGTATAATAGAGATATTAATGAGGGCAACTTACTGGCATGTATCCCTTGGTACCTAGGGCGAACCGTTGGGGAGATGCTTCTGGATTGACTTTCTTATCGCTTTGAGTTAAGTAGGGAATGATCCCTTCATTGATCATTGTGGAGGGAAGGTTGATGAAAGCAAATCATACCGTCAATTATTAATATAGAGGTATTGCTTATGCAGTATCACTCGAGAGTAAGTCATGTGGGCCCATTTCTGAAATTTGAGATAGGCGATGCGATGCCTAATCCCGTGCTTTGATTTTATGCATTGTCATTCAGCCACGGGGGAGCTGGCGGTGCCTAGAATTATCCCTATCAGTATGCATGTGGTATTTCTAATATCTGACCCGATAGCGTCGGAGTCCTGACCCGTAACACTCGCAGTTTGGACTTCCGGATCCATTGACAGCTCGTGGAATTCTTCTGGAGAAGTCGGGACTTCTCTCCACCCGACTCCGAAATCCAATTTCCAGAACATTTCGGTTCGGGTTCGACCATGTTACTTCGCGTTCGTTGGCAAATGCCGGGCGGTGTCCAAACTCGCAGCCTCCCACGTAACCAACCCAAAACTGACTATAAAGGGACATCAACCCATATCCCCTTACGCTCGCCGCTCCACTTTGGCCTCTTCTTCCTTCCTCTCCCATCGTCCCGTCTCCCGAGAGCCATGATCTTGGGGGCTCCCTCCGCTCTCTTTCTGCGCTCGCCCTCCGCCAAGGCCTCTCCCAGTGGCGCCGCGTATTGGCTGCGGTCTGGCCTGAGAGTTCCGAGGGAACGAGCGAGGAATGGGTCCGTGGTCGCCATGGCGGCCGGCGAGACCAACAGCCGCCCCATGACCGGCGTGGTGTTCGAGCCCTTCGAGGAGCTCAAGCAGGAGCTGGCCTTCGTACCCTCCGTGCCCGATAAGTCCATCGCCCGGCAGAAGTACTCCGACGAGTGCGAGGCCGCAATCAACGAACAGATCAAGTGGGTTCTCTTTCCACTAAGTGAATGTTTGTCTAATTTCCACGCGGATGGTCTATGTTTGTTTCTTTAATGCATTTATTATGCCAAAATGCGCTTTTGATTCAAAAAAGTTACTCTGCCCTTTCTTGAACATTGATTTGTTCATTGAGGAAGACCATAATGCTTTTGTGCTTCCGTTTTTACTTGATTATGTAAATTATTTTTTATGTTTGCATTTCGAGTCCATGTCTAATGATGGGTTTTTTGGTTGGGGAAAAAACAGTGTTGAATACAGTGTATCGTATGTCTATCATGCCTTGTTTGCATACTTCGATCGTGACAATGTTGCTCTAAAAGGCCTTGCCAAGTAAGTGTTTGACTATTTCAAGAACCTTGTGTTCTTTATGCTAATTAAGTTGCATTTTCCAATTAAAAATGTACTTGTAGGTTCTTTAAGGAATCAAGTGATGAAGAACGGGAACATGCAGATAAATTAATGGAGTACCAGGTATCTATCTTTTTAATCTCTTATTTATATCTAGATGCAGGACCGTATTGATGAATTTTAGCGTGCTGATTGTTTTCTGGGTATCTTTACCAATAGAATATGCGTGGAGGCAGAGTGAAGCTCCAGTCAATTATGATGCCCTTGAATGAGTTTGATCACCCTGAAAAAGGAGATGCACTGTATGGTAAGACTTTTGTCTGAGTTCCAACATTATCTATTCCGTTTTTCTAAAGAATCTGAATTCAGATGCACACATGAATTCCAAAGGAATCTGGTTCGCAAAATTAATTATTAGACAAGGGACGCCCTTGTATTTCTGTATTGATAGTTGCTCTTGTGAACATGAATGCTCTAAAGACATTTTGTATCCATGTCTACTGCCTAACTACTACTCATGCAATCATAAAGAAATAAGGTTATCTGAGAATACTTGGGCAATCCTTTCCATGCATTCTTGAGAACCTTATTTAAGGTATCTGCGAGTAATCTCATACGCAGACAAGCCATCTCAACTTATAATCGAGTCCTTTCGTCTCCTTTTTTGGATTTTGTGAAACTCAATTTTTGAAGGTTCATTACTCTCTACGTGCCTGACACTTTCTTGCAATCTCTTGGATCTCACCACCAAGGAAATAAAACCTTAGAGAGAGCTCGCAAGGGAGAATCTCATGAATATGTCTCCTTCCACCCAATGGCAGTTTTCTTGCCTCAGATTTGCTGCCACCCCTAAAGGTAATAGGATCTTGGAGGCTTCAGAGAAAGGATAGGTTTAGCAAGGGGATTATATTGGGATTTAAACTGTCATGCCTATGTGCCGAACAAAGGAAGATGTGAGTTTTATGTAAAATTCTTAGATGAGTTGCGGGCAGAGGAATTGTTTCACGGAGCATTAGTTTTCAAGGCGTGCAAGGAAGGACAGTAACAGGAGGGAGATTATATTTGGAAGGTCAGTTGTCATGCCTTTGTGCCAAACAGAGAAAGAGAGATGAATTCTACTGTAGAATTTTAGACAAGTTTGAATTTTTTTTTTTGTATTATTATCTCACAGGAAGTATTAGTCGTGCCACCAGAACATATCAATCTAACTTGGAACAGTGCCATTTAAGTACATGAGTTCATTAACAACATATGTCTTGGTGTTTACAAACTGCCATCTTGATCCTGAATCTAGTAACCTATTTATTTTACTGAACATTGAATTTTAAATCATACCGAGTTTCTTGATTTTGAAAACATTGTTTAGAGGCAGTGTCGTAGCAGGAAGATAACTGTGAAAGCAGTATTGGTAGCACTTGCTATGTTTTCAGATCATTCTGTGGCTTTCTCTCAGCTTCTCATATAACAACGTTCAATTACTGTCTTGTTGGGATGGTAACTAAACATTTTTATCATGATCTATCATTTTGGGCTTTCTTGAGCAGTTGTTCCATGATAGTTATAGTTCTTCCTTGTTTGTTATATATATATATATATATATATATATATATATTCCAATTTCAGCGATGGAGATTGCCTTGTCTCTCGAAAAGTTGACAAATGAAAAGCTTCTTAATTTGCATAAAGTAAGCAACTTCAATCTCTTGATCCATATTCATTAGTTGCTTGTTTAACTGCATCTGCTGATTTGTGTATCATATTATTTCCCTGGGTGGTGTATAGGTAGCAGAACGGTGTAATGATATTCAGATGGCAGACTTCATTGAGACCGAGTTTTTGGGAAAGCAGGTCAACTCACTTAACATTTTCATTGTTATCCGCAAATTCGTCCTCTGTGGTAAAGAATTAAAATGATGGTGACTTTCACTTGAGAAACAATTTTCAAACTCGATTTCCGGCAATTCTTGTTGCTAAAAGATGAAGTTAGTTCTTTAAGTTTCATGTTTATTGTTGTATATTCTTCTTTGCTTGAAATCTGCAAGTCTTAAATCTGTATATGTTTAGCTCTGTTGACGTACCTCAAGTGCTTTCAGCTGACACGGGAAGGCTATTTTTCCTGGAACCCCTTTGCACGATGCAGGTAGAAGATATAAAGAAGATCTCCGAGTATGTTGCTCAACTAAGAAGGGTGGGGAAAGGACATGGTAAGATTCATTCGGCTGAAGATATTATTTACGTTTAGATTGGTGATTCAGGAGCAATTTCTATTGGCATTCCTTCTTTTGAGTGCAGGAGTGTGGCATTTCGATCAGGTGCTTTTTGGTGAAGGAGAAGAAGTGGTTGCTTGAGGAAACATGTTACCTTCTCATCCTGCATGCTTCTGTTACATGAGCGAGTCCTTTACATGCTATTGTTGCTCGAGGAAACATGTTGTAGCTAAGTAGATCACTCTAGTCCGGCTTAGTTGACGCGTTTAATCGATGGTATTAGCCATGATTCGACACTAATCTCCTTCTGGTAATTCTGCCATTGCACTACTGCATGTGAACCATCATCTCCTCCTCCCTGCATTTGAGCTTCTTATCAGGGTGTGCCAACCGATGTTTGTGATACGAATGGGACAATAGATTATGAAGATTAGGTGGAAGAATCTTGCCCCGGAAGTTAAACCCATGATTGGATAATTAAGTAGGGGTTTTGCAGAGGAGACAAAGATGAGTTAGTGACATGCAGATGATCACAGGATGTCTCGTTGTGGCAGGTGCATGGCAGCTATATAATTTACACAACTTCTTCTCTTTCTCTTAAAATAAAAAAAAGCTTATGGCTTGTTGTATACTTCTTTTCAAGCATGCACTTAATATATATATATATATATATATATATATATATATACATATATATATATATACATATATATACATACATTTCGATCCAATTAATCTAAAAGGTATAATTTGTATTTAACCGGCAAACCATAAGAATTAATCTAACACGAAATAGGATTTACACATGGAACTAATGATACAGGACTCGAGCTTTTAATGCTACAGTGGATGAGATCGAGAGGTGTCGACGCATGCGAGCCAAATCCGCATGCATTGGACGTGACTTAAGGGACCATCGACGCCCGTCATGATGGAACGACTCCTTCCTGCTTTCCCAAAAGAAAAAGAAGAAGGCAATGACATGATTGGGTCCATGTCCCTCTCGATCGTCCCTCAAACGCCTAATCATTCTTGTCGATCACACCATGTCTCTCCCCAACATTAATTGCATGACGGCCGATCTGTTGCTGGATGAGCCGGCAAAGTTGTTTTCGGTCATCCCATCTCGTCCGGCGAATAATGGAGAATGATCTGATCGTCAACCTGATATAACCGACTCGATTTAACGTGACCAATCTTGCGAGTTATAGCATATAAAAAGATCAAAAAAATGTTCTTAAAATGACCACAATTACTGAAACTATTTGGATGTTTTTCTTGTATTAATCGAGATTATTTTGGGTGATAATGAGATACTTATAGCACTGTGGTGCTTTAAGCCACCGTAGAATGGAACAGCAAAAGGCTGCAAGCCTGCGCTCGCCGATGCTTTCGTGCTGTTAATAGCAGATTCTAATGAATCCATCCTCGTTTCCTTTCCCAATTACCAAGTTACTGTTACCGCTGCCGCTACTACCACTACTACTGCGCTTAGTACCCACTGCTACTTAGTCTGCAGCAGCAGAGAAGATCACATGCACATTTTAACTCTCCCTCCTCCTCCTCCTCCACCACCATCACTGCGATCTCTCCGCTCGGCCATTCGTCCTTCACGTTCTGCTGAACTATTTGAAGTAGTAGTAGTAGTAGTTGCAGTCATCGCTATTCTCCTCATTGGTTTGGTTTGGTTTGTTTCGGAACTTTTGGTGAGCGTTTGGGATTCAGCTGGATAGTAGAGATGGCAACGCCGATCGAGTGCTGGTCCGGACGGCCAAGCACGGACGAGGACATGGTGGAGCAGGTCCTCATGCAGACCCACGACCGGTCGGAGGCCTTCCACCGTTCCGCTGCCTCCTCCCCCGCCTGCAACTCCTCCCCATCCTCTTCCTCCTCCTCCTTTTCCTCCCCGCCTTCCCCCTCCGCCGCCTTCCCTCCTCCCAAGAGATGGCAGCGCATCGGCCGCAATTTCGCCGGCGCCATCGCTGCTCTCCGCAGCTCCCTCAACCTCGACTCCTCCCGCGACCCTTCCCCCGCGCGCTTCGACCGTCTCTTCCGCGGCGGCGGTGGCGGCGGCCAGCCCCCTGACAAGCTCGTCGCTAGTGCCCGTCGCCACTTCGATTCGCTGCCCAATAGGTATTCGATCACTGCAATTGGATCCCTTCCGCCTTCTTCTTGGTTCCATTCGCGTGAACTGTGATCACGAAAAAAAGTCCTCTTTTTTGTCCGTGGGCGCCGCAGCTACGCTCAGGCGGGATTTGATATGAAGGATGTGCTTCTGCATGTGAGATTGATCGAGCAGGCGTCGGCAGGCGACCACCCCGCAGTCCACCTCCAAGAGATTCACGACGATGGCGGGGCTGAGAGATCCGTTTTCCAGCTTACATTTGCCTGCGGCTCGCCGTTGTCATGGCCGGCGATGGCGGAAGCGCTCGATAGCTCATTGATCTGCTGCAAGAAGATCCAGATCTTTGAGAAGAAAGGCTTGACCCTCGGGGTCGTCTCCGTCTTAGTCCAGCAGGGAAAGGAGAGGCACTTCAAGGCCCGGATCGAGGCCTCGCTGAAGGCGGCGGTGAAGAAGCCCAGGAACAACGGCGTCAAGCTCCCCTTTGGTTTGTGCGGCCGCCAAGAGGAGCGCCCGAGGAGCGCCGAGGAGGATGCTCGCGGGGACGGGAACGACGGGCAAGGCATCGACGGGGAGGGACTCCGCCGGATTCAGCTACCGAACCCGCTCCCGATGTCTTCCGTCGTCGTCTCGATCGACGAGTGGCAGAGCATCCGGTCAGGCGGGGACGAGATAAGGAGGTGGGTTCTGAGCTCCGACGAGGTCGAGCTCGTCGACCGCACGGGGCCTATCTCGTTCAAGGGGGTGCACAGGGGGAGAAGAGTGTGGGTGAAGAAGCTGCGGGGGTGCGACAGGGGAAGCGCTTACGATGTGGAGGTCAGGCAGGACTTGTTGCAGCTGATGAGCTGCGGGCAGAGGAGCATCCTCCGATTCCATGGCATCCTCTTCCAAGAGAACCAGGGGCTCTGTGTCGTCACCAGGATGATGGATGGAGGATCGGTGCACGATGTCATGCAGAAGAACAAGAAGGTCCCAATGAGGGAGGTGATGCGGATGGCATTGGATGTTGCAGAAGGCCTCTTGTTCATGAACAATCATGGAGTGGCCTACAGAGATCTCAACACACACAGGATCCTGCTCGATAGGCAGAGAAATGCTTGCCTTGGTGACATGGGCATCGTGACTTCTTCTAACATTGCCGGCGAGGTCACCGAGTACGAGACCGCCGGCTACCGATGGCTAGCTCCTGAGGTCAGTGTTCATCACCACTTCCGTCGTTCATGTTCTAAGATAGAACATAGTGTGTGAGTCTGATTAAGATCAGAATTAAGGCTTCAACCACCATATTAACCATTAGTTAGGAGCTTCAAAATCAATGATGAGCTTGTTATGAATTGTAGTAGAAATAAGAATATATCATGGAGTACAAACACCGGGATTAAGCTTGCTTTTAGTCATTACATAAAGATTTAGTGTGGATCTGTTGATCATCCACAGCATCTAATCGTGTGCAAATTGATTTGTTTGCTGCTAGCTTTTTAAGCCAATGGTCTTCTTGGCTGCTTAAGATCTTAGAAGAAGATGGCCATATAATTTGGGCAAATTGAAGACCTTTATAGCTAGTCAATGCACTCTCTCCTGTTCTCAGCCTTTATGGTGTTTCTATGCTTTTGTCTTTGATTGAAACATATGACTGGCTTCATTTTTCATGAGTACTTCTAAGATCATCAGAGGATGTTTATCTCAGTAGCTAATGGCACCTTATGTCTGTCTAGAAACTACTCCAAGGCATTGCCAGCTTAGCTACCTTTTGTATTCCAAGTAATCTCCTGTTAAAACTGGTATTTGCATATTGCTGTAGAAGAAAAAAAATCCTTATCATCAGGATTTATGATGGTGTTTTAAGTGCAATAAAATTGCCTAATCTCACTTTTAGGCATGTATTCAGAGAGAACTCGGAGATTCATAATTAACTTATGTTCTTTTTTCTTAAGATGCTTGCTTATATTCGGTTATCTGCTCCGATTAGCTTAAATCGAACGTAGTTAGATGCGATGAGCAATGTTGTTTTACGCTGATTATGTTGCAGATAATTTCTGGGGACCCCGAGATTGTTTCAGAGACTTGGATGAGCAATGTGTATAGCTATGGAATGGTTCTCTGGGAAATGGTAGCTGGTGTGGCAGCCTACTCTTCTTATTCACCGGTCCAAGCAGCGGTGGGGATCGCAACATGCGGGTTGAGGCCGGTGATACCTGAAGACTGCCCTCAGGTTCTGAGGTCACTGATGCACAGGTGCTGGAACAGTAACCCAGCGAAGCGACCTCGGTTTGCGGAAATCGTCTCGATCCTCAGTAAGCAAAATGTTTGATAAGCAGCTCAATTTTTTTGTTCTATGCAAAAAAAATGGTTTTGTTTCTGGTGGTGGTTGGTTGCCATGGCTTGCAAAAGAGAGTTTTGTGTTTGGCAATAGGAAGATTTGTCGTAGTCATCGTCGTCGTCCTGTTTACTGTTGGAAATGCAAACACACCAATGGACATGACTTGGTTGAAACTATTGCTTCAGATTGTGAGCCAGTAATTGACTTGATTCTTTGAATCAATATGTGGTTCTATCTGCACTAGAAACATTTGGATATGCTGAAATCTTGCTTTCATTACACTCTAATTCTGTCATGATCTGTAGGTTGTCTCTGTTATCAATCATCATATGACCCACTTGGGTTTCATTCTCTAATCTCCTATCGAGCTGTCCATTTCCTCCCACCATCTGGTCCCTCACCAACATGATGATGGCTACACAAGACTACAACTTCAATTCTGTTGCCTACCACAATATTTTATCCTGACTTTATTATATATATATCCTGTTCATACAAGTAAACCAAGTTGATTGATAAGTCCAAACAATTTCATTCCTCACTTATTTTAACATATATGCAAGAAAGCTGTGTGTGTGTGTGTGTGTGTGTGTGTGTGTGTGTGTGTGTGTGTGTGAGAGAGAGAGAGAGAGAGAGAGAGAGAGAGAGAGAGATTTGCTCTAATCACATGTCAATGAAATCATAATTCCTTACAGTAGAAGATGGATTGAAAATTAAGAACTTGTAATGATGAAGGCTTTGAAAGTATCAGAGCTCAAAATACATAGAAATCAAATTCTTTCAACATGAATAAATTGGGGTAGTACTTTTGCCAATCTCCATGAAGAGCACAAAAAAGAACAACAAGAAATACTTGTGCTGACAACAAATTTTGACTCCAAGAAAATTTCTTGCTCTGGTGTTTGAGCATCAAAATAAGGGACTGATAAAAGTTGCCTTCCTCTCTGCTGTCAACAGACCTTTTACTACCTTCTTTTTACTCTTTATCTTTATTCTTGTTCTGATCTTTATTTGTTCCTTTTTCTTTTTGTCCTCTTTTCTCTTTTCTTAATTCTTTCCAGCATAATTTGCATTCATCTTTTCTTTTAAATGAAGAAGATAAAGAAAGAAGGCAAAGTAACTCATCAATCAATTTTCATCCAACACATTGATCTTCGATCGTAATGTAGTATAAGAACTATTGAGATTTGAAATGTAAGAGAAAGAAATCATTCATCGCCCACTGTAGATTCCCTTCTCGCCTTAAAATCCGCATAGGATTCGCCATCAAAGTACCTAAAATTATGATGGTTTGGCTTCACATGTCTCTGTCTCTCTCAAGAGGAGCCATATTTCTTGCCTATCGGCATCAAACTCTCCGTTCTCAGTAACATCCACTTTGTTGTCACTGTGTTGGTGTTGTCATTGAAGATGATGTTATGGTCTGCCTTAATCTCATCATGAGATTGATTCATGTATGTCCCACCAATTCCTTATCCCAAACAGAGCTGCGATCTAATCGTTTGATGCCTGTTTATAGCCCAAGGATGGTTCAAAAAGAACAAATTGGAGCTTTTCCAAGAAAAAATGTATCACTATATCCAGACTAAATGAGAGAAGAAATGAAGAAAAGGATTTCGATGTCCTAAGATCGTATATATTATTATATATCTTCCAAAAACTAAACTGTAAAATCTATTTTCTATTGACAAAAAACCATTCCTTGTTCATGTTGATCATAATCTATTAGAGAAGTTTTATAGCACCTATTTTTCTATTGATATGCACAAACTTCCTTCTTATTTAATACAAATCTTACTATTGATTTACATCCTTATTCGACATTGTCGATGTATGACTTATGTATATATTTTTTGTGATGTATGTATTGTTTCTAGTGTTTTGATGTTTTATGAATTAGTTTCAACAATGAATTTATGATGATATTATATCGTATATGTGATGTATGATATTTCAAATAATATCATGTTGATTATAGATGTTATTTTTATCGATGGATAGACAAATGGATATTAGTAAGCTAATTTACTTTAGGGATTAATAGATCTCTCACTTTATAGAAAAGATGCATTAATTTGAGTAATATATCACTATGCAAGTCATTCAGAGTATAAACTTTTTAGGAATGATTTATGATGATATGAGATGTATATCACGTATCTTATCGTCCTTTAAACTCTTTCTTATTCTCTATTGGATATTTGTATCTATTTTATTATTATTTTTATCATAATAAGATCATGTTTAAGGAGTACTAAACGAGACTTATACGATTATTTATGATTTTAATATATATAAAGTGAATTGATATATAATAATCATATAATTCTCATTTAGTACTCCTTAAACATGATCTTATTATGATAAAAAATAATAAAAATATCCAATAGAGAAAAAGGAAGAGTTTAAAGGATGATCCAATATATATATATATATATATATATATATATATATATATATATATATATATATATA